GGTATAATGCCATGAAAGAAGAAATGGAATCAATGGCCAAAAACCAAGTTTGGGCACTCGTCGAATTACCACCAGGAGCAACAACCATTAGTTGTAAATGGGTCTATAAGACCAAAAGAGATGCTTATGGTAATATAGAACGATATAAAGCAAGATTGGTGGCCAAGGGTTTCACACAAAAGGAAGGCATTGATTATAATGAAACCTTTTCTCCAGTTTCAAAGAAAGATTCGTTAAGAATCATCATGGCATTAGTAGCTCATTTTGACATGGAGTTACATCAAATGGATGTGAAAACAGCCTTCTTAAATGGAGATCTTGATGAGGAGGTATACATGAAACAGCCAGAAGGTTTCTGTAATGAGGATAAGCTAGTATGCAAGTTGAATAGATCCATTTATAAAAATTTTAATTTGTAGTAAAATCACCCCACCCACCCCAAGCCACTATCGACAGTCGAAGAAATGGCGCAAGACTAGGTATATGCCAACTATGCCCCGAAAAAGCCATTTCTAGCATAGATCACAACTCCGTGGCCAAAAAACGGCTAGATCTATGGCATTCACAACCAAAAATGTGGCCGTGCCATTTCAAAGCCAAAGATCTAGCTTTTTCACTAACAAATCTGTGGCCGTTTCACGACCACATCTTTGGTCGTGAAACGGTCATAGAAACACCAAATTAGCTTTTTTGGCCATGAATCGTGATCCATGACCGGAAAAGGTCTTACCGGTGCACGATCGGTCAGATCCCAAGTCGTGCGATTATAGCAACTGATGCCTACGACCGATGATGGTGAGTCACGATCGGCGGTGGTCTTGGGGACTACAGGTATTTTTTTTTTTTTTTTACTTATAAATTTTTTATAGCTGGAGTGTTTTAGCTAATTCTCAAACGTAAAGGACTGGGCTAATTGTTATTTGGTAATATTGAGGGCAATTGTGTCTAAAATGGTTTTAATTAAGGGCAAAAAGGTAGAAAAATCATATTATCCCAGTAATGTTTTAATCTCAGGGGTGGGAGAGGGTATCGGATTACCCCCTATATACCAATAGTAAACACATTTGCAATAAAAGATTTCTTTATATTTGATTACTTGCAAACCTAACACCAAACTTGCAAAATAAATGAAAATTACTCCATATCTTATATACCCCCGATCCAAATGCAGCCTAGGTGTAATGAGTTTAACGTTAGTTTTAGAAAATATAAATATGGGGGTTGATATTGTCTTGAGTGAAATAGAATATCTAATATTAGCCCATATGATTAATTTAAATATGGAAGCTAGTGACAAATATGCTCGACATTGTTCGACAATGCTCAAATATAGGTATTTGGCGTCTATCATCTTCAACCTCCAATCTCAAATTGCTCAACTTGCATGAACGATGGCACAAATATGCAATACAAAGAATGAGAGGTGTAAAAGTGGGGTTTTATATAACGAGTAAATATAGTCAATAGAATAAAAAGAGGTTCATAGAGTGTAATTTTCTTTAATAACTATTTTTCGATTCTCCCATAAAATAGAGTTATTTATAATAATTGCCCAATATAAAACCATAAGGATAATTTAAGACTTTGAGATTAGTAATGTGCTTGCTTACATCACTAATGATATTCTAATTTTTTTTTTTATTATAAGTAATAGTGTGTCATCCTATATATATGTTGTACCTTAACATTAAGTTTATTTGCACATCATATCATATAAGAAACAGATAATTTGTAATAGAAAAATTTATTACAATATGTATAACATTATTCTTTCGAGATAATATTGTAATTTATATCTAAATTAGAATTCCGTTAATGGATACATTTTAAATAAAAATTAATCATGAGTAATAATATCCTAACCCAATTTTTGGTAAGAATTAATTTTATATTAATTTCATGTTTTTTTCAATTCATGAAGTTCCATTGTATAGGACATTTTGCAAAAAAATAAATTGAGAGGACTTCTTTGAACTGAATTTTGTTCCGGAACCCGAGGGTTGGCCTTGTGGTCAAGAGGATTTGCTCTCTTCTTTGAGTCTTGAATTCGACTTAAGGTCACTTACCACAATAAGATTGTAGTTACCTAGTCCTTTGGGTTTGTAGGTGTCAATAGACTCGGGGATTAGTTAAGGTGCGCACAAAATGGCTTAGACACTTAATTATCAAAAAAAAAAATTGTTCCGGAATTCCCTCATCTTTTCAATAATAAATACACTAACTAGACACACTTAACATAAATGAGGCTAAGCAATTGTTTGACTTGAAATTACAGAAATCTCTACAACCACATGGATAAGTTGACTACAAGAATCGTTATTGTACATGAGACATCCCACAACGCTTGGGAATGAGGGGTCTGAGCTAGTTAAATACCAGAGGAACCCCCCAATAGTCAAGAAGCGTTTTTGGGCTTGAGCAAAGGTTCTGGGCTTGAAAACAAAAATATGGAGGGTTGCACTTAGAGTCGAACCACCCAGGCTACTAAATGGACAATATCTTGATTGTGTTGGTAGTGGGTCGGGTTGTTGCTTTGTTGTATTGATCAACCTCTGTGACTGCACTCAGGGCCTCTGATAAATATTTATACAAACCTCAAATGGCTCTTAAGTATCTTCGTATGGTCCCGCTTGAAAACACTACAAGAGATGGCAGTAGTTACTGAATTACGTGTCCTTTGCGGCGTTCATTGTGAAGAGAATGTTCATAGCATTATCACTTTGCTGAAATCTAAATCCAACTGAAAATAAAAGCCGAAAACGTCACATAATCCACCTTCAAGAGCTTGTTGCTCGATCGAACAACACCACTTTTAGCTCCTTACAATCACAAAAGGAAAAGATTATTTCCGAATTCCACTAATCACATTATGCATGCGATAACAAACAACTTTGAAAGCTATTCTTTTTCTATCACTTTCGTACCTACACAATGATTGCTCCATACAAGACTATCACAAAACATTTGTAGTCTAGCTCAAGATAAAATATTCCTTTTATTGTGCTCCCTTCCATAGAAATTAACTAGTTCTGGGTCAGGCAGGACTTGCACAAGTTTAAAAATAATATCCAAGGATATTCAGTGTGTGGTTGGCATTTTTATAGATACAGGCTTGGCCCATCAGTTGTACTCAACAAATTGTATTAATTCCATGTTGATGTTTTCTTCATTGGCGGACCTGATGATCGAGAGGCAATGGCATTGGTTTTACGCATGTTAGAACAACCTAATGTGAATACAAAGAAGGATATATGTAAGACTTGATGTAGCCACATGCCACAATTATGCAGTCTAAGGTGGTTTAAGGAGTTATTAACTGCCTCCTTTGATCCTTGAGGGAGGTTAAAGGCAGTTGATGGGAGTTACTGGTCCCTAGCCTAGCATATATAAAGATATATCACGAAAATACAAAAAGAAAGAAAAAAAGATTTGGAGCATAGGCTAAAAGACATCTCTCAAATATTCATCACAAATCATTCAATACACTTGAACAATATGGTGGAGGTAAGTGATTAAATTCCGCATTATATTACATACGTAATTTTACATTTTGGTATCAGAGAGATGCTTCTTGTTATGTTCAGTGTTAAGATGTGATGAAGTATGCTGTAATTTTATTTATGTTTTATTCTATTTTGATTCTCTCATATTCATGTTTGGGAATTTTGTTTGGTTAAATTGGTTAGAAAATTAAATTCCCTGTGAATTATGAGAAAAAGGGCTTTTAAATCGTCTAAAACGGAGTTAAATTGACTGAGTTATGGTATTTTAAATTTTCGGGTTCGAAGTGGGTTGTTTTCTGGTGGGTATCGGTGCAGACCTGGCTGAAGGTTGAGACGAATGGGCCTCAAGATATGACAAGTCGTTTTTCTTTCATTTTTGGAAACGACATGTCGTTATTTAAATTATTTAAAAAAAAAAAAAATTACGCTGGGACTCAACCTGGAATCAAGTGGTTGAGAGGTTTTTATTTGACTCACTGAACCACACAGGCCGATTTACGCGCTTGCCATTTTGTTTGATTAAATTAATTCATTGATTCTACAAAGAATGTTTTAATTCAGTCATGTTAATTGTTAAAGCTAAAACTCCGTTGCTGTGAATGAACCCAAAACTCTTAAATGAGAGTTAAATGTCTTGACCACTAGGCTACATTACTTCTTGTGATGGTTCTGGAATTTTAAGATTTTTGTAGTCTGTTTTGAATTTTTCAGTTAGTTGTATTAAAATTGTTTCTGATATTACTATATTATGCTGAATTAATTTTCTATGGATATTTGATATGACAACGTGAGTTTAAGTTGATATTATTATTATTGCCTATTGAAGAAGTGAAATTGTAATGTTTAGGAGTAGCCAAAGCATCCTAAGCATAATAATAATCATATAAAGTATTTTGTTTAAATTCGTATGGTTTTTGATGATATTAGAGCAAGACACTGAATTAGCATCATGATTAGACTAATCCTAGACCCAAAGTATGGATATATTTATGAGTGAATATGTTCATTAGTCTATTAATAAGTGTAAATTCAATGCAAGTTAGCAACTCTGCCCAAAGGAAGGTTGAATTTATAATTGAATTTGACATGTGATTCAAATATAAAGTATGCTTACAATAGATGACATGATTTTAATTCTTGGTTATTGCAGTGTTCTACTATTTTTGCTAATAATTCATCTCATGTTCCAATGTTAAATGGTGAGAACTTTTCTGATTGGAAAGAAAAGATAATGTTAGTCTGGGTGTATGGATATTGATTTGGGTTTCGTATGGACGAACCACCAGTCCCTACGGATGAAAGTACGCCCTCTGAAAAGGTCCTCTATGAAAAGTGGGAGCGATCAAATCGCTTAAGCTTAATGCAGATAAAGACCCACATAAGAAACTCATTAGGGGTTCCTTCTGAGTGCACTAAGGTGACAGATTTCATGAAAACACTTAAGCACAATTTGTGACACTGATAAGGCATTAACTAGCACCTTAATGAAGAAACTTTCTAGCAGAGAGTTTGAAACTCTAAGGGTGTGCGTAACATATTATGGAAATGCGGGATATAGCTTCTCAACTTAGTCCCGTCAAACTTGCAAATGCTTTGGTGCATGGTGTTGTATGGGGATATCATCGTATAGGGCTGAAGAGAGACGGCAGCACTAGAACTTTCCAAGTTTTTTGTCACCGCATGCATAATGTGATGAGTGGAATTCGGAAATAATCTCTTTCTTTTGTGATTGTAAGGGGCTAAAAGTGGTGTTGTTCGACCAACAAGCTCTTGAAGGTGGATTATGAAAGCGCAAATTGAGCTTGTATTACTTGGATTGAATGCCTTTAGCAGAGTGATGATGCTGTGGACATTTTCTTCATAGTGAATACCGCAAAGGATCCGCAATCCAACATTGAATGGTATCTTTCGCAGTGTTACAGCGGGCTTATCCTCAGTAGATCCCTCAATTGATATATGAGGTTTGTAGTAAATATTTACTAAAGGTGTTACAATTGCAGTTAACATCATGTTGCCGAAAATCCACGCAGTAAATTTGGCTTCATCTATTATCTACAAAATCCAAATTTTAAAGTTAGTTCTATAAAATTAAAATCATGTAGCAGAATATAATAAAGAATGGATAAATAGAATCAAAATCTGACCTCATTCTTTCTCCATCGGATGGCTACTAACAGATCATTTATACCCCTGACATTTAAGGAGAGACTGAGTAAGATAGCATTTTGAACACTTGTTTCGAAGAATAGCGAAGCCAACAAACATGCTATCATCTTCCCTAAAACGGCTCCAAACATGATAAGAAAAAGTGCTGCAAATGCTTTCCAATCTTTTATGGAGTAAATATTGGTAAGTTGACCAACCCACATATATAAGAAAGGTAAAAGAAGGTTCGATTTGATGGTTCGACATTTCTCTACTAGAGCTGAACCTAAAGGAGGTCCAGGTGGAATCATTAACCCAACCAATATAGCTCCCAGCGCAAAAGTCATACCTAAACTGTCAGTCAGAGTTCCCATGACCAAAGGAAGAATCAATAATCCCAGAATGTATATTTCCTTTACTGGCTTTCCTTCTGGTGTATTCTTGATAATCCACAGGACTATTGGCCGTATAAAAAATATGACGATCAGTATTATTACACACACGCAAAGCTCGCAAAGCAATTTCTGTGTTGTGGTTCCAATCAATCGCAATGGTATTGCTGTAGCAATCCATGTAGCTATCTCGCAGAGCATGGAACAAGATATGGCAAGATGGCCTAACTCAGAATTTAATAGTTTGAGTTCCGTAATGGCATTAGATACAACTGGGAAAAAATTTAGAGATAAAATAAAACTTAGACCAAAAAGAAAGAATTCTCTAAAGGTTCCTGGAAAATATCTGTGTAGCAGACGAGTGAGGGAGAATGTAACAATAAAAGTAATGACGACACAGGTTACACCAACTTTCCAACCGTACTTCACCGTTCTTAGGATTCTATCCTTATCTATTTGTACTGCCTCCAGGAATATGAAATATACTCCTCCAAGTACAGCGAATGTATGAACCACCAACATCTCGTCCTTTGGAAATAGTTTCTGCAACATTCCCTGGTTGCGATCTAGAACGGAAGGGCCTAATAAAATCCCTACCTGCAGAAAAGGAAATTCATCACTTTTCGATAACAAAAGAAAAAAAAAACGAAGAAGAATCATATTTGACATGTCCAACGTACGAAGGCATTGCAGACGACAATCGGTTGTCTCAAAGGTCTGAGAAGAAGGTAGACCAATCGGGATGAGAAGAAGAACAAGCAGGCTTGCATCAAGATGGCAGGGAAGATCACATAATAGTTATGGGTACTCATATCGTTAAAATGGAACTTTCTAAAGCCGTAAGTAAAGCTGAAATCACTACTGTTCTTGCCATATACGATACAGTATTTCATGTTTAGGAATTCTGAATTGCAATAAAAGCCATGCATTTTGCAGCAATACCAATAGAAGACGAAGATATGTTTAGAAAAAGGAAGAGAATGGATGGAATATCTAAAGCTCCCATACTATCATAGTATTTAACCGAGTTAATAATGACAAATAACAAAACAGGATGAACTAATCTCCCTCAAGTTTAAGAGCAAAACTGTCGATTGTGGTTAAAGTTAAGCTTGGGCCATAATCACTGAAGTACCGTTTTAACAATTTCTAGTAATTATATGTGAAGCTCAAGGGATATTCTGATTAAGAAAATAAAGAAAATAGCAAATTAATAAAGAGGCGAAAATTGCAAACTACCTATGTCTACATATAGAGGGAGTTTAAATCATTTAATGTTTTATTATAGGGGGTATTATATTAACGGAAAAAAAATCACTTTGAAGATTATTAAGAATGTTTAAAAAATATATATGGTTGATTCAAATAAATTGATAAATAATATGTTTGGTTAGAAGGATAAATTGGTGGGTATTTTATATAGAATATTAAATTGCACTTATTTTTAAATATTAATATAATAGTATTTATTATTATTGTTTTTTGAATCATTTCTTTTAACCCTTTACATTTGAAATTTTGCTAAAACACCATAGTCATATAAAATTTTAATTTGTAGTAAAATCACCCCCACCCACCCCAAGCCACTATCGACAGTCGAAGAAATGGCGCAAGACTAGTCGTATATTGCCAACTATGCCCCGAAAAAGCCATTTCTAGCCATAGATCACAACTCCGTGGCCAAAAAACGGCTAGATCTATGGCCATTTCACAACCAAAAATGTGGCCGTGCCATTTCACAGCCAAAGATCTAGCTTTTTCACTACCAAATCTGTGGCCGTTTCACGACCACATCTTTGGTCGTGAAACGGTCATAGAAACACCAAATTTAGCCTTTTTTGGCCATGAATCTGTGATCCATGACCGGAAAAGGTCTTACCGGTGCACGATCGGTCAGATCCCAATAGTCGTGCGTCATTATAGCAACTGATGCCTACGACCGATGATGGTGAGTCACGATCGGCGGTGGTCTTGGGTGACTACAGGTATTTTTTTTTTTTTTTTACTTATAAATTTTTTATAGCTGGAGTGTTTTAGCTAATTTCTCAAACGTAAAGGACTGGGCTAATTGTTATTTGGTAAATATTTGAGGGCAATTGTGTCTAAAATGGTTTTTAATTAAGGGCAAAATAGGTAGAAAAATCATATTATCCCAGTAATGTTTTAATCTCAGGGGTGGGAGAGGGTATCGGATTACCCCCTATATTACCAATAGTAAACACTATTTGCAATAAAAGATTTCTTTAATATTTGATTACTTGCAAACCTAACACCAGAATCTTGCAAAATAAATGAAAATTACTCCTATTATCTTATATACCCCCGATCCAAATGCAGCCTAGGTGTAATGAGTTATTAACGTTAGTTTTAGCAAATATTAAATATGGTGGTTGAATATTGTCTTGAGTGAAATAGAATATCTAATATTAGCCCATATGATTAATTTAAATATGGAAGCTAGTGACAAATATGCTCGACATTGTTCGACAATGCTCAAATATAGGTATTTGGGCTCTATCATCTTCAACCTCCAATCTCAAATTGCTCAACTTGCATGAACGATGGCACAAATATGCAATACAAATGAATGAGAGGTGTAAAAGTGGGGTTTTATATAACGAGTAAAATATAGTCAATAGAATAAAAAGAGGTTCATAGAGTGTAATTTTCTTTAAATAACTATTTTTCGATTCTCCCATAAAAATAGAGTTATTTATAATAATTGCCCAATATAAAACCATAAGGATAATTTAAGACTTTGAGATTAGTAATGTGCTTGCTTAACATCACTAATGATATTCTAATTTTTTTTCTTTATTATAAGTAATTAGTGTGTCATCCTATATATATGTTGTACACTTAACATTAAGTTATTATTTGCACATCAATATCATATAAGAATACAGATAATTTGTAATAGAAAAATTTATTACAATATGTATAACATTATTCTTTCGAGATAATATTGTAATTATATATCTAAATTAGAATTCCGTTAATGGATACATTTTAAATAAAAATTAATCTCATGAGTAATAATATCCTAACCCAATTTTTGGTAAGAATTATAATGTTTATATTAATTTCATGTTTTTTTATTCAATTAATGGAGTTCCATTGTTATAGGACAATTTTGCAAAAATAAATAAATTGAGAGGACTTCTTTGAACTGAATTTTGTGCCAGAACCCTGAGGGTTCGCCTTGTGATCAAGGGGATTTGCTCTCTTCTTTGAGTTCTTGAATTCAGACCTTAAGGTCACTTACCACAATAAGATTGTAGTTTACCTAGTCCTTTGGGTTTGTAGGTGTTCAATAGACTCTGGGGATTAGTTAAGGTGCGCACAAACTGGCTTAGACACCTTAATTATCAAAAAAAAAAATTGTTCCGGAATTCCCTCATCTTTTCAATATATAAATACACTAACTAGCACACCTTAACATCAAATTGAGGCTAAGCAATTGTTTGACTTGAAATTACAGAAATCTCCTACAACCACCATGGATAAGTTGTACTTACAAGAATCGTTATTGTACATGAGACATCCCACATCGCTTGGGAATGAGGGGTCTGAGCTAGTTAAATACCAGAGGAACCCCCCAATAGTCAAGAAGCGTTTTTGGGCTTGAGCAAGGGTTCTTGGGCTTGAAAACAAAACTATGGAGGGTTGCACTTTAGAGTCGAACCACCCAGGCTACTAAAGTGGACAATATCTTGATTGTGTTGGTAGTGGGTCGGGTTGCTTTGTTTGTATTGATCAACATCCTTGTGACTGCAACTACAGGGCCTCTGATAAATATTTATTACAAACCTCAAATGGCTCTTAAGGTATCTTCTGAGTATTGGTCCCGCTTGAAAACACTACAAGAGATGGCAGTAGTTACTGAATTACGTGTCCTTTGCGGCGTTCATTGTGAAGAGAATGTTCATAGCATTATCACTTTGCTGAAAATCTTAAATCCAACTGAAAATTAAAAAGCCCGATAAACGCTCACATAATCCACCTTCAAGAGCTTGTTGCTCGATCGAACAACACCACTTTTAGCTCCTTACAATCACAAAAGGAAAAGATTATTTCCGAATTCCACTAATCACATTATGCATGCGATAACAAACAACTTTGAAAGCTATTCTTTTTCTATCACTCTTCGTACCTACACAATGATTGCTCCATACAAGACTATGCACCAAAACATTTGTAGTCTAGCTCAAGATAAAAGTATTCCTTTTATTGTGCTTCCCTTCCATAGAAATTAACTAGTTCATGAGGTCGCAGTGGACTTGCACAGTTTAAACAATAATATCCAAGGATATTCAGTGTGCATGGTTGGCATTTTTATAGATACAGGCTTGGCCCATCAGTTGTACTCAACAAATTTGTATTAATTCCATGTTGATGTTTTCTTCATTGGCGGACCTGATGATCGAGAGGCAATGGCATTGGTTTCACGCATGTTAGAACAACCTAATGTGAAGATCAGTTTGGTTAGGACTCTTTACCAAAAAGATTATGAAAAAGAAGAGAATATACCTGAGAGGAATTTTGATGACTATACAATTGATAAGTTTCTGAAAAAGAATATTAATAATTGGCGTGTGGCATTTAGAGAGTTTGAGGCAGCGGATACTAAGGAAGCAATTGATGATGTAATTCGTTTTACAAAGAAGGATTATGACCTTGTAATTGTAGGAAAGCGTCGAGTTTCTGGATCACAATTGAAGCTAGAAATGAAGCCTTGGGTAGAATACAAAGAGCTTGGAGAGATTGGTGATTTTCTTGAATCTAGAGATTTTAGTCAGTGATACATTATGTTTACATTAAAAATTCGAGTTTGGTTGCTATTGTAAAAGGTATTGAGGAAGCTAATCATAAGACTTAGAATCAGAAGTTGAAGAAGAAAGATGGAAGCTGAAGTTACACAGCTCATCACCGGAAAATTGATACTCTGCGATGGCGTTATTTTCGATGCCAGTAAAAATCATCAGAATATTCATGATCTACCGATGCAAACCCAGTCATAAATTTCAGACAAGTACAACATTGGCACATAGAAAATTTGTGCGCCATTAGCCATACAGCGTTGAAATAGGATTACAGACTTGGAACGCTTTCTTGCGTCAAAGAACCATATGTACTGAGACATCCCACATCACTTGGGAAGGAGGGGCCTGAGCTAATTAAATACTAGGAAACCCCCCAATAGTCAAGACGCGTTTTGGGCTTGAGCAAGGGTTTTTGGGCCTGAAAACAAAACCGTGAGGGGTTGGGCTTCGGAGTCGAACCACCCAGGTTGTCAAAGCGAATAATATCTTGACTGTGTTGGGCTGGTAGTGGGTCAAGGTACTACAATTGGTATTAGAGCCAATCCCAACCAGAAATGTGTGGATAGTCAAGAGATCTCGCCTAGCCCAAGAGGGATCGCAACGAGGACGCTGGATCCTGAGGGGGGGAGATTGAGACATCCCACATCACTTGGGAAAGAGGGGCCTGAGCTAATTAAATACTAGGGGAACCCCCCAATAGTCAAGACTCATTTTGGGCTTGAGCAAGAGTTCTTGGGCTTGAAAACAAAATCGTGAGGGGCTGAGCTTCGGAGTCACACTACCCAAGCTGTCAAAGCGGACAATATCCTGACTGTGTTGGGCCAGCAGTGGGTTGGGGGTGCTACAATTGGTCGACCCAACACAGTCAAGATATTGTCCGTTTTGGTAGCCTAGGTGGTCTGACTCCCAAGACCAACCCCTCACGATTTTGTTTTCAGACCCAAGAACCCCCAAAACAAGTCTTAACTATTGGGGGTTCCCCTGGTATTTAACTAGCTCAAGCCCCTCATTCCCAAGCGATGTGGGATGTCTCAATGTTCCCCCCTTAGGATCCGTCGTCCTCACTACGATCCCTCTTGGGCTAAGCGAGATCTCTTGACTAACCACACACTTCTAGTTGGGATTGGCTCTGATACCAATTGTAGCACTCCAGCCCACTACCGACCCAACACAGTTAATATATTGTCCACTTTGGCAGCCTAGGTGGTTCGACTCTGAAGCCTAACCCTTCACAGTTTTGTTTTCAGGCCTAAGAATCCTTGACTATTTGGGGGTTCCCCTGGTATTTAACTAGCTCAGGCCCCTCCTTCCCAAGTGTTGTGGGATGTCTCCATCTCCCCCCCTCAGGATCCAGCATCCTCGCTACGATCCCTGTGAGATCTCTTGACTATCCACACACTTCCTGTTGGGATTGGCTCTAATACCAACTGTAGCACCCTGACCCACTTCCGGCCCTACACAGTCAAGATATTGTCTGCTTCGGCAGCCTGGGTGGTCCGACTCCAAAGCCCAACCCCTCACGATTTTGTTTTCAGGTCCAAAAACTCTTGCTCAAGCCTAAAACGTGTCTTGACTATTGGGGGGTTTCCCTGGTTTTTAACTAGCTCAGGCCCCTCCTTCCCAAGTGAAGTGGGATGTCTCAGTAAAAGTGGCTTCATCCAGAATGTGCACAATTGAACTTACAAATTAGTCTTTCGATCATTCGTCTAATTAATTGTTTACTAAACAATAAAGAATGAATAGGACAATAGCCTGACCTCATTTCTTCTCCATCGTATGGCTAGTAAGAGGTCATTGATCCCCCTAAAGTTTAAGAGGAGAGTGAGTAAGATAAAATTTCGAACACTTGTTTTGAAGTATAGCAAAGAGATCAAATTTGCAAACATCTTCCCAAAAACGGGGCGCAACTAAGAGCACAAACATTCATGAAACCGCTTTCCAATATTGTATCGAGTATATGTTGACAATAATACCGATGCTAATACAAAAGAAAGGTAAGAAAATGTAAGCGTTAATGACTTCACATTTCTCTACTATAGCTGAACCTAAAGGAGGCCCAGGCGGTATCACAAACCCAATCAATGCAGCTCCCACC